CCTTAAGACTCCAGTCAAAGTCTACCAACTGAGTCCTTGATATTGCACATGTTTCTTGTCTTAAATGTTGTTGCATGTCCTCTCTACGCACCCAAAACACATCTAATACCTCTTGTTTTGAAGACCCCAGGCCTTCTAAGTGTGCTGCAATCTTGAAATTACAATAACAATGACTGTTGTTTATGATATTGTTAAAACCCAGCAGAAATAACAATGTACTTGAAAGAAAATTTTCTTTTGAAACTGAATACATAATACAACACATTTTCCTTCTTTTTTTTTTTTTACCTTATACTGCCAAGGTGCTACCCCTTATGATAAACAACACAATTGTACAAATTCATCAAATTTTTAAAAGACTGTAAAATATATGCCAAGCATCTGTTATCTCTCAATTCTGCATATAACTCCAGATATTATGTCTATATATGAATTACCTCATCTTTGGACCAGATATTCTTTAGAGTATCCTTTGCCAGTTCCTTGAAATAATCACAAACATTCCACCACTCTTCCAAACTCCAGATCTTTGCATAGTCCTGGTATCTCGGGGGACACTTTCCACAAATGCCGTCTATCAATCCATGAAGTAACTGAAGATAATAATAATAATAATAATAATAATAATAATAATAATAATAATGTTTATATTATGCTGGAAAATTCTGAAAATAGATAAAGATCAGTTAATCTGTATTTGTTATCCACTGATACCAGTGACTGGATTATGTGGCAGAGCTACTTGGAGCCCCTTTTCTGAAAAAGTGATAGTTTGGAATGGTGAAAAACAGCAAGTGTCTAAAAATAGCAAGCTAATTTGACATGTCTTCTAGTATGTAATGGGAGTCTTTTAAAGATATTTAACTGACAAAGTGACAAAGAGTTTCATTTTTCTTCAGACATACAGTATGTCTGTCAATATCGAGTTTTGAGTCAAAATATATATCCCTCACAATCTGATACTTGATTCGGATCTTATATACACTTTCCATAAAAATTAATGCATGATACCTCTCCTGACTCCCCCCCCCCCCCCAAAAAAAACAAAAACAAAAACACAAAAAACGGCTATTATTTCCCTTCAGTTTCAATGAATGTAAGCTTTATGTCTATAGTTTGTGCATCAATTTAAAATCTGTTTTCAGCTATCTGAAATGCAAGTTTGTAGTACCTAATTGTGTTATCACTAGCATAATTTTTCTTATTTTTTAACGTTTTTACAAGAAGCTTCGAATCCACTCAAATATATGGGTGTGGAGGTAGTTTCAGGGATGGGCATCGAAAATTCTTTAAGTAACCTTAATTTAATTTAATTCAACAGCAGTCAGGCACAGATCACAGTCACCATATAACTGGGAAAAATCCTCAAAAATTAAGGACTTGCATGTATAAGTTTAGGGTATATTGCACAAGTATTTCAACAGTTAGAATGAGTTATAGAAGAATTATCCTTTGCTGAGGTATACTTCCCATAAGCTGGAGCTACGACGGCACAAATATTACCACTGTAAAAAGTGTGATAAATCAAAATAAATACTCTACATTCTACTTGAAGACACGCATTCCACTCATATTTAAATCCGTTAAAGTAAAAAGCGGTGAAAAGTACGAATACCGTTGATATCTGATTCTGGGGGCATTTTTCTAACAATTTTTGTTGAGGAAATCCTCCCTCTTCAGCCATGACAGTTCTTTAACCTACCTTACTTCGAGAAAACTATTTTGATTGGATTAAATTTGCAAGGTCATAAGAAGGTCAACAAATGAAATAGGGCGATACACACTGACTATCCCGGAAATAGCGTGGCTGAAAACAAGATTTATGTAGATAATGACAGCTGAGTCCTTGTGTTCAGCAAATCGCCTAGACAATCCTTACAAAGAATGTGGTAAGTCAAAGGTTCTTCTTTGTTGCTTTAAATTAGGGTGAAAATATTAACTCTGATTTTTTTTTATAAATTTGATTGCAAGTTCGGTAGACAAAAGAAAATAAGTATGAAAACGGGTTCAGTGTTCTGATATCTAGCCTTGAGCCAAGTTAAGCTTGAAGTCAAGTATCCCGTTGCTTTCTTGGTTTCAGTTTCAGTCCAGTGTATGTTGTTTACATGGTTTACAGTTCTTGCATCGTAGATATGTCCTGAACATGGAGTGGTACCGTGGAAGCCTTCACCTGGTGATTTGATATAATTATCGTGGTATGAACAGATCCGCGTTGATAGGCTGTTAGTGCAGGTATTAACTTGAGAAGGGCTGTTTGTAGTAATCATTGTTGAGGTTAATTGTACACAACTTTTTAATGTAATACTAAATAATATGTAAAAGTAGACAATGTGTAAAGTGGTATTATTAGGCCATAATATGTTTGTAAACAGAGATATGACACAGACCACAACTGCAATTACACATGGACCATAATAGTAAAAATAACATTATTATATGCAGATTATATGCAAATTGATTAATACATGTAGCATTAATATGGCTATCCCTGCCATAATTGAAAGATGAATGAATGTGATTTTCATTACTGTAAATTCCCCTTTGTTCCTTTTGAATAGAATGGACC